CCACTAACACCTAACCCTAATCCCTAGCACTAACTAGTAAACCTAACAATAACCTCTAACACTAAACATTAAACCTAAGAGTAGCCCTAACCATGACCCCTAAAGCTAACCCTAAACCCTAACCCTAACATTAACCCCTAACAATAAACCAAACAATAAACCCAACGCTATCCCGAAAAGTAACCATAAAACGTAACCAGTAAAAGTGACCCTAAAAGTAAACCCAACACAATCCCTAACGCTAACACCAAACAAGCCCTAAACCAGCCCCTAAAAATAACCCATAACCCTAAACCCTAACACTAACCCATAACCCTAGCTGTCACCCTAACACCTGACGCTAAAACAAACCATAGACATAAACCTAACACCTAAGAGTAACCCTAAATCTAACCTTAAAACTAACACTAACCTCTAACACTAACACCTAAACATAACGCATAACTGTAACCCTAACCATAACAACAAACCATAACCCTAACCGTAACCCCAACCTAAGCCTAAAATTAACCTTAAACATAACCCTAAATCCTAAAATGAACCCAAACCCCTAACACTAACTCTCACCCATACACCTAACCCTAACCCTAATCCTAACCCCTAACCCTAACTCCTAACCCTAACCCTAACACTAACTGTAAACCCGAACCCGCTACCCCTAACCCTGAATCCAAACCCTGAACCCAAACCCCAAGCCCCACTGTGAACCCCAACCCTGAACCCCAAAACGCACCCCAAACCAAATCCAAACCCAAGCCCCAAACTGAAGACGAAACCCAAACCTGACCCCAACTAGAACCTTAACCCCAACCCTAACTGCAACCCCGAACCCTGAAGATGCACCCTGAACACCAACCTGGACCCGAACCCCTAACCTGAACCTGAGCTTGAACCCTGAACCTGACCCCCAACCTGAACCCCAACCCCAACCCTAACCACAACTCTAAACCCTGAAGCTGCACCCTGAACCCCAACCCGGACCCAAACAAGAACCCAAACCTGAACCAAAACCCAAATCAGAACCCTGAACCCGAACCCAAAGCTGAACCCTAACACGAACCCAGACATGAACCATGAGCTGGACCCCGAACCCCGAACCCAAACCCGACCCTGAACCTGAACGCCGAACCCCACCCCGAACCACAACTGCAACCCTGAACCTCAACCCGAACTCCAACCCCAAACCCGCACCCCAAACCCCAAACTCGACCTGGACCCAAACCCAAACCCTAACCTGAACCAAAACCCAAATTAGAACCCTGAACCCAAACCCTAAGCTGAACCCCAACCTGAACGTAGACCTGAACCCTGAACCTGTTCCCCATACCCCCCCCCGAACCCAAATCCTGAACCCAAACCCCAAACTCCACCCTGAACCCCAACCCCAACCCCAAACCCAAACCTGAACCCCAAAACGAACCCCAACCCAAACCCAAACCCGAGTCCAAAACTGAAGCCGAACCCCAAACCTGACCCCCAACTTGAACCTTAACCCCAACCCTAACTGCAACCCTGAACCCTGAAGCTGCACCCTGAACACCAACCCGGACCTGAACCCCTAACCTGAACCCTGAACCTGACCCCCAACCTGAACCCCAACCCTAACTGCAACCCCAAACCCTGAAGCTGCACCCTGAACCCCAACCCAGACCCAAACAAGAACCCCAACCTGAACCCAAACACAAATCAGAACCCTGAATCCAAACCCAAAGCTAAACCCCAACCCAAACCCCAGCATGAACCCAAACCCAGACCCCAAACCCAAACCCCATACCCCAAATCCTGAATCCAAACCCTGAACCCGAACGATGAACCCCACCCCAAACCACAACCCCAACCCTGAAACCCAACTCGAACCTCAAACCCAAACCCGCACCCCAAACCCCAACTTGGACCCAAATCCGAACCCTAACCTGACCCGGAACCCAAATCTGAGCCCTGAACCCAAACCCTAAGCTGAACTTCAACCTGAACCCCGACCTGAATCCCAACCCAAACCCCAACATGATCCCCAACCCACACTCCGAACCCGAACCCCATACCTCGAATCCTGAACCCAAACCGCGAAACCCACCCCAAACCCCAACCCTGAACCCTAAGCCTGAACCCCAACCCAAACCCCAGGGCAAACCCCAACCCAAACCCCAAACTGAACCCTAACCTGAACCCCTAACCTGAAGCCCGAACCCGAGCCAGAAACCTGACCCCCAACCTGAGCCCCAACCCCAACCACAATCACGACCCCCGAAGCTGCAACCTGATCCCCAATCCGGACCCAAATAAGAACCCTAACATGAACCTCAACCCAAATAAGAACCCTGAACCCAAACTCAAAGCTGAACCCCAACCCAAACCCCAACAGGAAGCCGGACCCCGAACCCAAACCCCATACCCCTAAACCTGAATCTGAACCCTGAACCCAAACACCGAACCCCACTCCGAACCACAACCCCAACCCTGAACCCCAACCCAAGCCCCAACCCTAATCACAACCAGAACCCTAAATGCGAACCCCGAACCCCTAACCTGAACCCCTACCCGAACCCTAACTCTGAACCTGAACCCCAATCCAAAAGCCAACCCAAACACCCTGAACCCCATATCCAAAACACTGAACCCAAACCCCAAGCCCTGAACCCCAGCATGAACCCAAACAGCAACCTGAACCCGCAGCCCGAACACCAACCCTAACCTGAACCCGAACCCAAATCAGAGCCCTGAACCCAAACCTGAACCCTAACCCGAACCCCGACATGAACCCCGAGCCGGACCCCAAATCCAAACCCCGTACCCCGAACCCTGAATCTGAATGATGAACACGAATGCTGAACACAAATGCTGAACCCCACCCTGAACCACAACCCCAACCTGAACCCCAACCTGAACCCCAACACTGAACACCAACCCCGAACCCCAACTTGAACCCCACCCCCGACCTGGACCCAAACCCAAAGCCTAAGCTGAACCCAAACCCAAATCAGAACCCTGAACCAAAACCCAAAGCTGAACCCTAACCCGAACCCTGACCTGGACCCCGAACCCGAGCCCCATACCCCGAACCCTGAACCCAAACCCCGAATGCCAACCCCAACCCTAACCCCAACCAGATCCCTAACCTGAACTCCGAAGCCAAACCACGAACCCCAACCCGACCCCCCCAAACCCCAAATCCAAAAGCCTGAACCTGAAGCCCAAGCTCCGAACCCCAATTCTGAGCCCCGAACGCCAACCGCAACTCTGAACCCAAACTGCAACCCAAAATCCAACCCCAAACGCCAAATCCAAACCCCAACACGAACCCCAACCGGTACCCAAAGCCCGAACCTGAACCCCAAACCCTGAACCCCGAACCAGAACCCCAACCTGAACTCCAACCTGAACCCCAACCCCGAACCCTAATCCAAACCCCAAACCCAAACCTGAACCCCAACCCTAATGGGAATCCTGAACACTGAACCCGAAACCCGAACCACAACCCAAACCCCAAACTGGACCTGGACCCGAAGCCAAACCCTAACCTGAACCCGAACCCAAACCCAAATCAGAACCCTGAACCTGTACCCTAAACTGAAGCCCAAACTGAAGCCCAACTGTCATGGCTTAACCCCAGCCAGACAGCTTGTTCACTCCCCCCCCCCCTTGCCCTCCCCCTACTCCTGAAGGGACAGAGAGAATCGAAAAGAATGCAACTCCCACAGGCTGAGATAAGAACAGTTTAGTAACTAAGGTATAACACAAACCACTACTGCTGCCACCAATAATAGTAATGATAAAGGAAATAACAAGGGAAGAGAATACAACACCCCATCACCAGCCAACTGAAAACTCTCCCCCGTCTTGGTGGTCTAGAACTGCTCCTTTCACCATGCTGGACACAAGCACACCAGGAACAGACATGACACAGCTGTGCACCAGACACTCTGGATTTCTAATACTCCTGCTTGTAACCTGTGCTAGATAGATGCTTGTCTGTGCCCTGATCATATGGCAGGGACTGCATTTTGGATGCACTGGTCTGCAACTCAGTGATGACAAAAGGCCCCCTTTTGCCCTCCTGCTTTACCTCCATTTTAAGACCTAGTTTGCTGGGTTTGCTTTTGTAGAACACCACTTCGTCATTATACATCTTACACATTGGCTTCTATAAATGACAAATGGGCTGTCATTTTTACTTTTCTTATATCTGGAATAAAAATAAAACCATCAAAACATCAAACCCAAACAGTTTATACTGAATTAAAACATCAGGCTTAGTGACCATTATTTTTATTAATCATGCTGTGAAGCAGTTTGAACTAAATTTGAAGAGAACACAAAGAGGTTACAAATTTTGTACCTCAAGATACACATAGTCTGTAACTGTAAAGAAAATAGGTCCAGGCACCAAGTACTGAAAAGATGTACCTTTTCTTTTTAATCAAAATAATAAAATTAATAATGTCAATCAAATTACACAAAAGCAAACAAACCTTGAGAAATCAATGTTCTGTTATCTAAGCTAATTAAATATGTGACTTCACGGTGTAATAATGAATCAGACTAACATTGCCAAGTGATTAAACCCTCAAACTGATATAACAGATTATCACCACTCACAAAGTTAACCCTAGGAGAATTTAAAATGATGACAACAACCTTCAGTTTCAATTTCCTTAATATAAATGCCTACCTGATTTAAGCATCCATTAGCTACTTTATTATTCCACCTTACTGGCAGTAAATATAATTATGCAGGGGTTTTATTCCATCATCCTCTTCCTCAGGACACAGTGAGCCCTGAAAAAAGTATGGCAGTGAAATAACATAGCAGCAGCAGCTGAAAGTACAACCACTAACAACTGAGAATCTGACTGAGGTAAAAGTTGTGGTTTAAGTTTAGGAAATCATTAAAGGACTCTGTTGGGAATCTTTCATGTGCATAGAACAAATGAAAACCAAGAGATAACAGTGCAGCTGCCCCCTGCAAAGGTGAAAAAAAAGCACAAGAGAGTAAAATATACTACTTTGGCTGAACTTCTTGGGATCTTGCCACTGGCTATATGGACTCAAACACCATGAAGCTTACTGCCACACACGAGTTTCACTCAAGCTCATGCTGGCTTCCCCAGTGACATAGATCTTGAAATCCTTCCACTTCTGGATGACCTGCGCAAGGGAACAGCTTAATGAAATCTCAGCTCTGTCTGTGGATAATAGTTTTCTTTTTCTTCTCTCTACTTGAGCAGGTATGTCCCATCGCTCCAGCTCTGAACCCAGTCCAGCATTTCAGGATCACTTAGCTATTTAGGCCCAGATGTAGTCATACCACTCAGGACGACCTTCAAGACAGGCCCTCAGCTACGATGAAGGTGGGTATTTCCTAGATAGTTTGAGTGTCATTTTCCAGCTGAAATCAGGGACACAAGCTCTGCTGTCACCAAAAAACAGTTTTACTCTTACAACCATGCCAACCTCATTTCCATAGATGCATTTTGCGGAGATCTAGTCTGTCTTTACTACTTAGGCAAGATTTCTGATAGGATCTGTTGCTTGTTTGGATGGGATTTTAATCGCATTACTTATGCTATTTTTTTTCCCATATTAATCTTTGGTTCAAATAGTGTCGAAATTTATATTCCTTTCAAAGCTTACAGTAACAGTTTTCAATAGGTATGCAGGGAAAGGGCTGCATTCTGCATTTCTGCAGTGCCATTTCCTTTTTGTGATAACAAGCCTTTCAAAGTCACAAAGTGACAAGAACTAATAAAGAGCAGGCATTATCCACCCCCACATTTCTAGGATCATTATAAGTATCATATAAGCCTCGCCAGAGCAGAACACAATAGTTCCCCAAACATAAAAGCAAATACAGAGTGACTGAGAAGATGGAAGTTTCTACAGGAAGCTTGTATTTGTCTTCAAGACTACATTCAGACTTTGCATTATGATCACTGATCTCAGTGAGAGAGGATGGCAAATGAATGCTATTCCAATTTAAATCCCTCCTGTAGCAAGAGTGGATGCACCCAGTAAGAAGTTTGAAGCAAAAGTTAAGTCTTTGGCATACAAAAAAAGAGTCAAAATAATTCAGGATTCTGTGAAGCAACATCATTTGCATTTGCTGAGGCTGATGCACCTTCCCCCTCCAGACACTACTCCAGCCTAAGCTTAGGGTAATAAACTATCAGAATAGAATCCCAGACTGGTTTGTATTGGAAGTGACCTCAAAGCTCATCCAGTCCCAACCCCTGCCATGGACTGCGACACCTTCCACTAGAGCAGGTTGCTCCAAGCCCCATCCAACCTGGCCTTGAACATTGCCAGGGATGGAGCAGCCACAGCTTCTCTGGGCACCCTGTGCCAGCCCTCAGCACCCTCACAGGGAAGAGCTTCTGCCTTACCTAAGAGCTTCTGATCTTACCTAAATCTCCCCTGTTTCAGTTGAAAGCCATTCCCCCTTGTCCTGTCCCTACATGTCCTGCTAAAAAGCCCCTCTCCAGATTTCTTCTAGGCCCCTTTAGGTACCAGAAGGCTGCTTCAAGGTCTCCCAGGCTAAAGAAGCCCAGCTCTCTCAGCCTGTCTCCATAGAAGAGGTGCTCCAACCCTCTGATCATCTTTGTGGCCTCCTCTGGACTTGCTCCAACAGGTCCATATCCCTCCTGTGTTGTGGGCCCCAGAGCTGAACACAGTACTGCAGGTGGGGTCTCACAAGAGCAGAGTAGAGGGGCAGGATCACCTCCTTCGACCTGCTGGTCACACTCCTTTTGATGCAGCCCAGGATACTGTTGGCTTTCTGGGCTGCGAGCGCACACTGAAGCTGACTCATTTTGAGATTTTCATCGACCAACACACCCAAGTCTCTCTCCTCCGGGCTGCTCTCAATCCAGGTCTCCACTCAATAATAGATTTACTGACAAACAGAAATTGAATACTCAATCATATAGAGGTTATTACAGAAATTAGGGGCATTTCCAGGATCGATTACAGACTAGGGGGGAACAACAGGACAAGAGGGGACACAGGCAGAAGGAAGAGGAATGGAACATGGTAAGAGAAAGAAATTCACAATTGCTGCTGTCAAAGCCTTAGGGCTTGGACACTTCTCATGGAGCTGTATTTTTGGAGAAAGAATATATGATTTTTAGAGTGACTGCATAAGCATCTCTTCATACTGCTCCTTGAAGAAAATAGTGAAGTAGACATAGTACTTTTTACTTATACATTTCAAAAGCCTAGAAGGAAAGGAACAGAGTCTACTGTCAAATTCAGAAATCCATCTCCAGAGGGCAAAAAATGCACATACAACAGATCGAAGTAACTTATTCTGTTCATGAATCAGAAAACAAAAACCAGCAGCTTCAGCTGCTGTTATCCAAACGGGCTGGAAGACTGCTGCGCATGCATGTGAATATATATACATGTGTACAGCCATTTACTATGAACACATAGGTGCACTGAAAAGTCTGCTTAGCTCACATAACTCCTTATTTCTAGCACCCTTGAATTTTTGCTTCAACAGAAATACCAATTTTTTAACATTGAATTCAGCCTGATGTGACAGCAAAGAAGCCGTACAGCCAAACCTCACAGTTAACTTGGTAACAAATTCTGCATCTAAAAGCCCAAATTCATTATCAACACAGAATATTTGTTGAGCAGCTAAAGAACAGCTAAAAAAGAAAGTATTGTTTCTAGTTTATATTCTCCAGTAAAAAGGTCACTAGGGAAGTCAATTCCATGTTTAAAGCAAAAAGAGCAAAGCCTAGAGCAAGTGGACTTCCACTATTAATTCCTTACTGACAGGTCCAGCGGATAACAGAATACCTTTCTTTGCTGAAAACACAGGGGCAGCAAATGTGGGGTGTTTTCCTCCCCCATTTTTTAGGAACACATAAGGCCAAAATGCTAGAAAGACGGGTATTCTCCCCTTCGTCTGCAAAGCAGCAGGATTGCAATGCCATTCCTACTTGTTCCCTTGTTTTTTCCTCTGAGTCTCTTCATTGTATCAGGAGCATGTGGTCACCAGAAGAAAAAGAATTAATTACCACTTGGCTACGTGCAGAAAGATTGATGAATATGCATTTGGTAGCTCAAATGCACTTTGCCTCATTATTAAGGACGTCTTCAGTGAACCAAATATTCCTATTACTAAATCACATGCTGCTTTATATAATACTTGCCAAACTGGAGTACAAAAAACATCAGTGGCAAAGTAAGGGGCAAAGGGAAAGTGTTGTACTGATTTTTAAGGGCTTAAATACAAGAACAAATTAAGAATATCCTCCTATTACTCTATTGAAGGAGACCTTAAAACAGTCCAAGGCTCTGATTCACAATCCCTGTCAGATTTAACTGTGGAAGGAAAGCTGAAGAGGCCACAGCCCCCTTGGATGGGAACAGCAACTTTTTCAGGGAGCTTATCTCTACCTGACAGAGGTTGCAAATCACAGCCCTTCAGCCATTGTAGTTCACAGCCTTGCATATTAATATAAATCAAAAGTGATGTTGCCTCTTGTTAATACATTGGACTGTGGTGGCTTAGACCAAGCATACCACCTTTGCAGAGCTCAGCTGCATGATGTTCTGCAGGGAGTAGAGGACAGATTTACAATTGTTTCAGCCTGCATCCTCCCAACACACTGCATTTGAAAATGAATTTTCTTTAAATATTTGTTGGATTCATAACAAACAGGATGGCACTGGAAGGGAACCAGTGACCTTGTGGTCAGCAAGGATGCAGCAAGCAATATATACATATATATATACATACACACGTGTGTGTGTGTAGGTAAACAAGCACTATTTAGAAATCCTCATTACATCAATTTTTAAGGGATGTACGTGCACCTAGGCAAAAAAGTTCAGCTGTGGTTGATATTATCATTGAATTTAAATTTAAAGCGAGGAAATGCTTTTACAGCAAAGTACCCACGTAAACCTTTTGTCAATAGAACAGTGCCAGCATTGATACATATCTTTTGAGCATAACTACCCTCAGAACCAAATATATGAACTATATTCATTCAAATTGTGGGTTGGACTTCTTGTACAACTGTGTTAATAACAAAAGGCGTGTTTAGTAGACTGAACTTTGTAACTTTGCAGTTGTATTACAAACATTAAAGGTCTACTTCACCAGTCTTTCATTAACAGCTGTTTTCTACTCCTATCATCCATTGGAGTGGCCATGAAAGTGGCTTCTTCACCAGCTCTTAATACAGTCATGGTGAGTCACAATTAAAAAACCAAAGCAAAACAGCTTTAAAAAAGCAGTCAGTATTGGAGTGATCCAGAGATTTGCTACATCTTTGTTTTTCCTGTACAGACTCTTCAGATGCGAGTAAGGACGGACCATCATCCTGGCACCACTGGGTACCCACTCTCCTCATGTCTGTCTCCAAAGTAGGGCCAGGAGTGACTTGGGCCACATATATTCTGGCAAAGAGCAAGACTTTGCTTAATTGCACTTACTGAAACTACACCCTTCCACAATACCAACTCTCTACTCTACAGCATTCTGCCAGCACTGTGGTAAATTGTATAACACCTTATTCCTGAAAATTCTTGTCTGCTCCTGAAATGACCTCAAGTGACTATCACAGTGATAGTACAATAAAAAATGCCATCTTGCTTCAAATGCTGCACTGTTTCCTTGTATGCTGACCTGTAATCCTTGCATGTGCTCCCATCTGCACGGTGCACAGTCAATTCATTAAGTATCTTGGTACACCAAGAACGAGGGCAGTTAGTAGATCATCTGGTGCTGACTATACAAGTGGATTCTGCTACACTTACACCCCACTGCTTCCATTCCCCAGTGTTCTATGCTCTCAAAACATAGTCTTTAACAGTTCATTGTATTGTTCAATCTTTCCAGAGGCTTGTGGGTGATAGGTTTCGTGATGGACCAAATCAATGTCATGTTTCTTGGCCCAGGACTGTATGAGGTTCTTTTAGAAATGAGTTGAACTGTCTGGCTGGATTCTTTCTGGAGCACCATGACACAGAATTTGACTTTCAAGGCTCAGGATTGCATTTCAAGCAATGGCATGGTTTACAGTGTATGTCTTTGGTCACCCAGTAGATGCTTCCATGTGGTAAATACATAGCACTTGCCTTGTCAGGTTCAGAGCAGTGGTCCAGGATAGCTAATTTGACAGGCCTCACAATACTGATAGCCCAGCCACCCCTGCTCTCTATCCCAGTAAATCTTTACACATACGGGTCACCTGATTAGGCTACGTTTCACACATGTGATGGCCTCGATGGTCAGAGACACCCCTCCAGCACAAGCACTTTTTTTTTTCTGTGTCTTCCAATTACTGTCCTTACCTTGAATTCTTCAAGCCTTTTCATCCTATTTTCTCCCTCCTGTTCTGTATAAGAGGGGAGTAAAAGCAGCTCAGTGGGCATCTGGTTGCCAGCCAAGGTTAACCCATCACAGTCCTTTATCTGGCATCTAACATGGGGCAGATAGATTTGAACCAGTAACCTCTTGATCTGCAGTCAAATGCTGCTGGCCCAGGTCAATCCACCACAATCCGAACCTGCTTCTGCTAAGACATTTTTTACAGCTGGAGAAGATTCTTGCCCAGAGTAAAGATCAGGCTTGCCTCGGATGACCTCATTGACTTAAGTTTTTATAAGCAGAGCAAAATTCAAAGCTGCCAAGACATGCATGTGATTAGCACTTCTGCAAGCAAGGACAAGGCACCCTATCAAGGTGTTGAACATATTCAGTGAATCTTGGTTAAATAAATAATCTTTTAAATCAACCTTTGCCCAATCAAAGTCCAGCCTTACTTATAGATACTGCCACAGGGGGGGACAGCAAAAGAGAATTCCTGTGAATGCTGCTCCACACAGACATACAGGTAAGATATTCCTTTTTTGTTAAACCCTCCTCCCTTAGAAAACTCCTTTTTACAATCCAAATAAAATTTTGCATGTAAAGATTTCATGGATTAAAAGTAGTATGCAGTGTAGTGTAACCTTCCCTCCATTTCTAAATATAAAGGAATAATCTTCCCTGTAAAAGCCTACTGTTTCTTCAGTTTTGTGTATCACTTGTTTTGCATGTTAACTTCAGGAATTAGCACAGATTTTCAGCATTTGTCAAGAAAAACTGCTTTGAGTTGTAGTTGCTATCAATGCAGTCTGATGCATTCCAACAATGGCCAAATGTAAAGGCAGCCCATCCTTATGTGAGTCTCAGTGCAACTACAGACACTCAAAAAAGTACAAGACACCTGACCAAGGGGAACAAGGGAATCGTCATCTGCAGGCTTCTTACCCTGCATGCTGAAATTCCCCATATTCCCCAGCTGCAGTGGCATCTGTGCCAAACCCCCACCACAAATCCATACTGCTCTATATGCTGCCCATTTAAACTCAACAATGCACTTTCAGCTTTGATAGCAAACAGTCTGTAGTATGGGTAATGACAGAGGTAGCTCTGCAGTAGGCTGCTACCATGGAAGGACTTGACCCCAGCTACTTAAAGGGGAAAAGAAAGAAGTCCAGTTCCCACATGAGTCACACAGGTGTTCCAAAGAAAAACCATGGAGTTGAATAGAAATATTTACATGCAAACATTAATTTTCTTAGTATTTATTAGGCTGTGATTAATGGCTTATCTTTCTAACACAACTTTGGCCTTTTGACAAACTTCTGTCAGTAGAGGCAGAAAAAAAAAATTTTTCCAGTAAAATACAGAACAAGTTTGCAAATTACCTGGACTTTCCAGCTGGAAGAAGTTATCTGCAGTTTTCTTGTCCCTTTATCATCATGGATCTTTTGCAGGAGTTCCTAAGACAGCTACCTTTGGAGCTGTTCCCTGGTCACACCTATTGCTTACTTTCAGTACACAATATTCCTGCTCATGATAAGCATTACTAGAACCAGGGATTCATTACCTCATAAAAGCATAGAAGAGTTTAAGTTCAAAAGGACTTTTGGAGGTAATCTGGTCCAACGCCTCATATAAGACAAGACCAACTTAGATCAGGTTGCTAGGGCCCTATCCAGGTAACATCGATGACATCAATAAGATCTTCCCTTTACTTTCTCTTCCCAAGACTGAACAAACCCATCTCTGTCTCCTTAAACATTATGTGTACCCTATCACCTCAGTGGACTAGCTCGAATATATCAATTACTTAAGGGAGCTCAAATCTGGAGACGGTCCTCACATGCAGCTCACAAGTGCCAAAGAGAGGGGAATGATCCCTTCCATTGACCTGCTGGCTACAGTACTGCAAAGTTACACCACTGACTCACATTCAACTTGGCACTTGAGTGCTACCCAGCAATGCTGCCTTCTGGCCATTCAGCAATCAGCCTGTATTGTTGTGCATGGTCTAGGCACAGATTATTTTTCACTTTTCTTTGCTGAACTTCATGAGGTTTCTGTCAGCCCATTTCTCCAGCCTGCTGAGGTCCCTCTAAATAGCAAAAGAATGTCACTAATAACCACCCAACAGCTGGATTATACACCACTGATCAAACCCCTCTGAACCTAGTGACCCAGAAAATTCTCTGCATCATCTAGTAGTCCGCTTATCCAGTACATGTGTCACCAGAATGGCTACATTGACTGCATTACAGACTGTATCAAAGTCACTGCAAAAGTTAAGGTGAACAGCATTCACTGCTCTCTGCCCATCACAGAGCCAGTCAACTCAACTCATTATGTAAAGTTACTAGGGTTCATCAGGTATCTTTTATGATTATCAGTAAATCCATGCTGTCAGATCCCAAACACTTTCCTGTCCTTGGCATATGTGCCTTAACACAGCTCCTAGGAGGATCTGCTCCAGAACCTCTGGAGGACGAAGGTCACTTCCTAACAACAATCTGGTAGCAGCATCAAGTATGCTCTTTAACTGGGTGGCCTCAAATTCTCTGGGGAACTAACATAGCACTCTGGAAACATCAACTAGAAATTCTGCTCCAGTTGTCACAAATTCATTGAGAAATCATTTGAATCAAACCACTACTACTTCAGCAGCCTGTCATTTCTGAACCCAATTTAATTTCTTTCCTTTCTCACACAATGTCACATTTTTACATTGATTACATCTCTTGTCATTGTTAAAGTCATCAGGGATGCTGATAAAGTTTTAGTAAGGCAGCAAATTGAGGCTTTATGGTCATTTCAGGATTTATGTGAGAATTACAAGAGAAGTACACTGTCTCAACTCCTGTTTTGTTCCATACAGACCAGGCAGTATTAAATTACCTCTCCTGCAAGTGATTACCTGATGGCACATTATCAGTAGGTGTATGCCTGAATATTCTACACCTTTGTTACACCTCACAATACCTGCATTCACATCTCACCCAAGCCTCATGTATAATGAAATACCAAAGTGAAATAGCCTGTTTCATAATAGCCTGATTCATAATAGAATCACAGTGTTTAATTAGGACTCAAAGGCAGAGGAAAACATGGAGAGCTCCAAGAACTTTGATTCTATCAGTAGCTCTTAAAGAGCACAGAAAAAAGCAAGTGCACCATTTTGTATGAAAACTGAAATGTAGAAATAATGAACACAGTTAGAAGAAACAAAAGCTTTGTAAGCATAGACAAGTGTCTTCCTAGTTCCTTTATACAGTCCTTGCTTTCTACCCTTCAATGCAAACCCTGTGCTCATTAACAATAACACCACAGTTACAATGTCTTTCCCAAAACTTGATTTTGTTCAGCTAAAAAAACTAACAACAGGAAAGCCTGGTTAGAACAATGAGGTTTTTCCTTCCTCCCAGCTGCTCATCCATCTGTACAGGTTGCCTAGAGAAGCTGTAGAACATTCATTCGTGGAAATACTTAAAAGGCTGAGAGCTGGGACTGCTCAGCCTGGTGAAGCAAAGGCTCAGGGGAGACTTTTTAGTGTATAAAAATATCTGAAGGGAGGGTGCAAAGATGGAGCCAGGCTCCTTTCAGTGGTACCCAGTGACAGGACAAAATGCAATGGGCATAAACTGAAACACAGCCAGCTCTGTCTGAACATAAGGATGCTTTTTATTACTATGAGAGTGACTTGAGCACTGGTACGGGTTGCCCAGAGAAGTAATGGAGCTTCCCTCCTTCCTTGGAGATATTTGAAAGCCATCAAGACTTGGTTCCTGGAGAACTGGCTCTAGGTGGCCCTGCTTGAGCTGGAGCATTGGACCACATGACCTCCAGAGGTGCCTTCTCACCCTGACCATTCGGTGCTTCTGTGAAATCCTGATTTGTCACACAGCTTTCTTAACAATGTTCCAATATTTTTGGGCTGCCATCATTTTTCCTTTCAAAGACTTAATTCAGGTATTAAATCCTCACCTCAATTTTCACCACATTGTCACAGGCAGACAACTTCTTTCTTCCAGATCTGCATCTTGCTCAACTTCATTTGAGATAGGGAGACAAGAAAAGCGAGGAGGGGAGAGAAAAGAGGACTGTTTTTTTCTCCCTACTCCTGTTAACTAGCTTCAGCTTTGCACGGCAGGATTTACCAGGAAGCAAAAACCCAAGAACTCAGAAGCAAACTCTATATGTATAGAGAGTGAGCATAACTAGGTAAGCTTACTGTTCTTACTGACACATACCTTTTCCATCCTGTCTGCTAGAGATGACTTCTGTTCTCCAGCCCCGAGAATGTAAAGTGACCAAAATACCCCAAAAGACTTACGGATTCTACCTGCGTGTTGAGAAAGACACAGCAGGACATCTCATCCGGAATGTGGCAAAGAACAGCCCAGCTGAAAAGGCTGGCTTGAAGGATGGAGACAGAGTCCTCAGAGTTAATGGTGTGTTTGTAGACAAGCAAGAACATGCACAGGTACTTCTCTGTTTAGCCGTATACCCACACAATTTCCCCATTACCCAGAACCAATACCACTATGTGAAGCTTTCTATTCCAGTTTTTATGACAACTTCAGCTAGGAAATCCAAAAGCCAAGTCAACTGCTCTGAGAATCTCTCCACAGCATTCATTACCCACCATGGGCATGTAATGTCTTTGAGGTGCCTCCACAGTGCATAAGCAGAGGGATGAGACAACAAAAAAAACAGATGGTACAAGCCTTCATGGGGAATGTTTTAGGGTCAATTGCTCTATCACATGCTTGCCTTGCCCACTACAGGTGGTGGAGATTGTCAAAAACAGCGGGAATTCTGTTGTACTACTTGTTCTGGATGATGCGTCCTATCAAAAGGCTGAAAAGGAAGGACTGAACTTGGAAGAGCTTGGTCAAAAAGTGTCAACAGGACAGCAACAGGAGCAGCAGTCCCCACCATCCATGGTCAATGGAGCAATCACCACAGTTCCACAACCCCGGCTCTGCTACCTAGTGAAGGAAGAGAAAGGCTATGGCTTCTCTCTGAAAACCACAGAAGGTGAGAGCCTGGTGAGAAGAGACAGTGTGTATAAAGAGAGATGGCAAGCAGGGACAGAGGCACCCACAGTTAATGTGGAGGCCAATGTGGACACACAAACTACTCTTGCTGACAGAAAGTGGGAAGCATGATGAGCTGAGGTCTACCACTAGCCCTTTTCTGCACAGCATATGCAGCGCAGTTTTTCAAGGACCACATTTCTTATGGGGTAGAGAAAAGATGGGGGAGTAGAGGGAAGAATAAAAAAGAACAGGCTATTTTCTGCTTGTTACTTAAGCCCACTTACCAAAATAAAATTTGAGGTCCCTGATTAAATACCAGATATATGCTCAAGATGCTACATCAAGTCCTGTTCTATTCCTTCAAATAACCTCAGGCACCAGCAGACAAAGTTCTAGACAGCTGTAATAAACACATTTCCAATTTGTAAGTTACTTAATTTAGAAAGCAAGGGGTTTTGAACCTCCTTCACATACGCCTTTCTTCCAAGGCCAGTTAACAGAATAGGGAAGTCTTCTGGAGAGCATCACCTCTAAAGAGGATATTTCAAAATGTAGTATAACTGAAAGACCAAACAGGTAAGCCTTTCAAACACAGTAAATTGTGAAATGTATAAAACACCAAAAGCAGCTCCTCACTTCAAACTGGGAGGGGGAGGAGGTGAGAATCAAATCCAGGGCTCCCCTTTAGCACTCTTGAAAGATTGCTTGAGCTGCAGATAGCGAACAAATGCCTCCCACCCCCACATAAGTGATTTTTTCAGGACAGAATAAGAGAGATGGAGGTATGCCTATATAGAAGATTTGTGGTGTCACTGTAATCTGCATGTAAGCAGAGTCCAGGAGTCTCTAAGGTCATCAGTACTGAGTTTCCTTAACCATTAAATTCAGGCATATGTCAGCAACTTGCCCTGTGTAATGAGCTTTCATTTATTTTAGGACAGAAGGGGTTGTTCATAGTAGAGCTTTCATCACAAGGAGCAGCTGCAAAGGCTGGTGTCCAAAATAACGATCGCCTGATTGAAATCAATGGAAAAAATGTGGAAAATGACACACATGAGGAAGTGGTGGAAAAGGTATTTGTACACTGATTCATCTTCTATTCTGGCTCACTTTCACAGCAACCCATTAGGGTTGTTGAAGAGGCAGGTCTGGCTGATTTGAATGCTTCACAGTAAGCATTCACTGGAAGCTACTGCTAAGTATCGTCAACACCGCAGAGTACCCCCTCTGCTTTGGCTCTGTTGTCAAGCAGCCTCTTGAACTGACTCTGAATAAATAATGCCATCAGGACAGGGCAAAGAATTTTAAATAACAGAAGAGTGCTGCTGCCAGGAACACTATTAAATAAATCATGTTCTGCTCCTGAAAGTCCTGGAAATACTCATAACGGTAAGAGGGCAAGTCATCAAATGTGG